GCTCGACTAAATGTCGAAATCGACGAAAAACGAGCCAAAAACAGTTATTGAGCTAATCAATCAAATAAATACTTGGCATAAGTTTGAAGGTCCATAGTCCAAATATTTGATGAGCTTCTTTATCCCATTTATACCAACAAAATTTTAAAAATTCCCTGTATTTAGATATTCGCCATATTGATCGCCACGCTGTTTGGCAAGAAATCGACATGTCAACTTGTCCCGGCCCGGAAATGTCCTGTTTACTTGTTACACAGGATATTAATAAGTTAATGTGAAAATATGAAGATAAAAGTATCTTTTAAAAAATAAAACCTCTCAAACCTCGATTTGAAAGGCTTTTAAAAACGCTAATCCGTTCGGAACCTACAAATTCGAGGGGTGGTATTTAAGCTTGCGCAAGGCAAAGTTTGAAGACCCATATCTTCGCAATCACGCAATTAATCAAAAATCGCCACGAGGAAGTTGAGGAGAATTCTTTTAAGAACAACATATATGAATTTCATGGAAAATAAATAAAAAAAACGCTTGCAAAAAAGCTCTGAAGTAACCCCATATGTTTGTTTACAAATTTCATGTGATGAAGCGTTTTACGCATTCTGATTGGCTTAGGCCAAAAATGTAAACAAAAGCGCTGATTGGTCGAGAACGAAATTCCCCATGGTTGATGCAACTTCAAAGATATAGAAACGATCCAGAGCAGTCAAAGTACATCTGGGGCCTAAAGAGTAATAATGGAGATTACACCCTCAAATGGTCAATTCTGAAGCGGGCATACTCATCTGGTGCAAAGCGTTGCAACCTCTGCGTAGAAGAAAAATTCTGCATAATGGATGCAAACAAACATGCCGACATCGCGAGAAATTTTGGGCGGGAAATTTTGAACGAGCGTGCGAATAATGACGGTGCACGTCAGCAAACTACTATATAGATCACGCCATTATAACGAACTGAATTTAATCGCCTGAAGATTGCCACATATAGTGGCATGAAACTTAAAGTAAGCGAGAAACTGCCCCCCAAAGGTAATTGAAACGCGTAACCTTCTGATAACCGACAGACGCTCTAACGATTGAGCTATAATGCGTCAGATGGTGAGCGAAGGTTACGTTATTTAATGGTCCTGTGTGCTCAACACCAATAAATCAGTAGAGCAAATATAAAAACAAAAACAACAAATTACAATCTTAAAATTTTATTTCATCGCTACACAGTGTTTCACCATGGATTGTAAAATGATTAGATTGAAACTTCCTGACGTCACAGTATAAAATAGTTGCAATCTGCGACGTCACGTGTATTGCGAATATTATCTGAGTTGTTTTACTATATTTTTCACTTTAAAACAGTAAAACATGCCTAAGCCACGACAAAGTATTCTAGGTAAATGTTTTTCGTCTTTGCTTTGTCTTTTTTTACATTTGTTGACGTCGCCAATTTTAACGAAATTTGCGATGCATTTTTCACTGTCGAGATTTATGGTAGAATGGTGTAGTTATATTTGTTTGCTCGTTGACTAAAATGTTTAGCTGCATTATTCCTGAACATGCCGTTTTTGAGAATTTGGTTTGCAACTAGGTTTCAACATCGAATCACGCCATCAGCCCATTGAAAACATTAGGTTACGTCAGCTAGTTTCTTATCCATTTGTTTTATTATCCATGGTTTCACGTACAGACTACGATCATCAGGCGATTGATGTTAGTTTCTCGCAATAAATTACAACGGTTTACGCTACGCGCTCATATTGCTGACGCAAGCAATTAAATGTGTTTACTTGTGCGCGCGCGCGCTTGAAATTAGAAGCTTAATAACTGTCCCTATGCTTACATTTCCTAAACAATTCAGATCTTATACTCAATGTATTATTTTTGTCTGATAAAATAATCATTCTTTTTTCCTCGGTGCACAAAGAACAAACTTTCATTCCTGGGCAAACGGCTAGAACTTGTTTCATGACCGACCATTTTATTCGGAATGATTTATTCTGCGATTTAAGACCCAAGCATATTTCGAAAGTTCTGTGTCTGTCAAGTAGGGCTCATTGTTCAATGATTTCAAATGGTTGCTAAAACTCAGTTTGTCGGAGGAAAGGGAGGATATATGCGTTTATTAATTGATTTTGGGAGTTGTCTGATAATCGATGTTGGATGATTAGAACGGCTATCGATATAAATGGGATTATTATTTGGTTTTTGATAGGGAGTGAAGTTATTTTCTTTCAAGTTTAAGGCAACATCAAGAAAGTTCACTGATTGATGGCAGACATCAGCGGTAATCTTTAAACCGAACAGATCGAAAATGCCATGGAGTTCCTTTCGCCTTATCTCCGATCTATCCTTGCTGCATTTTACCAGCATTAGGCCATCATCCCTATACAGACCAACCATATCATTCCCGAACCGTGGCGCTAAAATATTTAATATAAACAAACCAATAAGTTGACACACCTCCGCACCATCGTAGCTCCCCTTGGCAACATAAAAAAGCGCACCGTCCGTATCATTCGTTTTACTCCATGATCTCTCCCCGTGGAAAAGAAGCGATTTACGTGTGTGTTTGATCACAAATTCTTCTTCCGTCGTAATATTTGTTATAATTCTCGCCCAAGAAATTACACTGTTCAAGAGATCCTCCGAAATTGATGGGTAAAACTCGTTGACATCGAAGGAAAGAAAGGAGTAGTCACACTTGTGTTGAATTCCTTGGAACCATTTTAGAACAGATTGGGTGTTTTTGCACTGGTTTACATGGATGGTGGATCTTATTTCATTATTAATTCTATCTAAAACAACTTTGCTGACCTTTCCGAGCTCGCTCTTTGATGGATTCAGGAGATGGCATTTAGGATTAATGTCAAATTTTCCTTATGCTATCCAAGGGTTACGAACGCTTTTTTCCTTGCCATAATATCAACTCTGCCTGATATGGATAGTTTGTCCGTAAATTGTTTCAATTCAGAATTAACATTGCTCATAATATTATCATCACATTGTTTATAATTCATGGTTACAGTATCTGTCAGGAGTTTCTCATACGATGCTGGACTTAACTCATAAATGTTTTTTGATTTGTCCGCAAAAACCAATACGTTATTCGATGAATTGATTCGATCAAGGTCTTTCGAGATTTTATTCATAAAAGGGTCGTTTACAGTTCTAAATTGAATGTTTGATATTATTTTAATTACATCGTCTTCGAAATATTTTAATTGGGTGAGCATGGGCGCATTAGTCGGTGATGGAACTCCAAATTTCTCATCGCGATTTGTTTGCTTTCCAAGGATAAAATGTGCTTTCCAGCGCATACGTTGAAGACACTTTCCGTTTTTTTTCAATAAGTCGCCGTTGATATTGCGTACGACTTAGCAAACCAATATTCTTTAACGAGTAATTGAAGTTCATCATGTTCATCTTAAGATTGTCTTGGATACCACAAACAACAGAGTGCACAACTGATTTCCAGGGGCGAAATTAATATTAAATGTTGCATTTGTGCGTAGTGAACTAGAGTGCTCAACACCAACAAACAGTAGAGCAAATACAAAAATAAATAAATAAATAAAAAAATAAAGCATCAATTAAAGCGTCAACTGTTCTTGATTGATTTCTACTGGCAAATTGAGTCAATTAGCCATTGCGAAGTTGATGAGTGGACTGGGGACGAGTGTTCAAAAATGCCCAAATTAAGAAATGAACCCAATCACTAAAAGGCCACCTCGAAATTAGTAAGTATACAAAGTTTGAAGACGTTTACATGAATATCCTTCGAATAATACGCTTTCAAAAATCTTGATATTTACTATGAAATGTATTGTAATTTTTGTTTTTGGGACGCGCGTCGTCCCAAAAATAATCTTTCAATCAGTAATTTCATAATTTTCGAAAGCTTATTATTCGAAGGATATTCATGTAAACGTCTTCAAACTTTGCATACTTACTAAATTTGAGGAGGTATTTTTAGTGCTTTGGTTCATTTCTTAATTTGGGTACTTTTTAACACTCGTCCCCAGTCCATTCATAAACTTCGCAATGGCTAATAGTGCATCATCGCTGTCATTATACTCATCATTATGAGCAAATCTGGCTAACGGATAGTCATCTTCATCATCAAAGTCATCTTCGTGATTCATCACCATCTGATGATGATGATGATGATGTTGATGATGATGATGATGATGATGATTATGAAGGGTCACAGTCAAGTGGATCCACATCATTAAACATGCCACTGGCATAAGAGCATTCCCCTTCATTTGCTGCCAACTTTGCTTGCCTTCTTTTCGTTCTCCCTTTATTCTCTTTCACTGCTGCCCTGTCTTACCGAATCTGCCATTCTCGTGCTTTTTTTTGCTGAACACCCCTCGAAGGAAAATTGACCACCTGGAATCTTAGCTGCCTTAGTGACATTTTGCCTTGTGGATGCACCAGCAATAAAGGACATGACAGCAGACATCACAGCTATTTCCACAACATGAGCCATTTTGTACCGCTGTTTAGGAACACGGTTCCAAACAAGGCTGTTGAGGCTATCTTTTGCATTTTGCGAATACTCAGGAAGACAACGGAGCAACACTCAATAATCACAATACTCACTAAGGCGTTGGAACTCAAGTAGAAGGAAATCTAGGAAGACACCATCTAAGTGGTGATTTTTTCTCTTGAGAGTACCATCTCTCCTATAAGAGCACCAGCTATCTGGTTCTGGTGTACAGTATTTATGTCTCTCTTTTATTCACTGTCATACTTTCCTGTGTGGTAGATAAATGCCAGTATAGCCTTTTGCATGATTTCAATTTGCTTCTTCAGTTCTTGTGGAGTTAATGTCCCTGGCTTGATATTTGTCCTGGTGGCATTTCCATAATATGTTTGTATCTTATCTAATGTTTGGTCCCACAGTCGGTGTTTACTTTACTGAGTTCCCATCCTGCAGCTTAGGCTGCTTTTTTCTTAGCTCACGCAAGTGGGTACCCATTCTTTTTTGAACATGGCCAATGCAATCTAGCTCGGAGACGCTTGCACAATCAGCCTTACCGATTTCATGAGATTCATTAAACACCTCCTAGTCCTTCGACTCGCGCCATTTCTTGTACTCTTTCGATCGCTTATCAATACTCTCACATTCTGCACAATCCTCGCAGCAACCATAAGTATCCCAGACACTTCCATAGGGTTGCCGTAACCGTCACTGATCATGAATTTGTAGTGTAAGTTACTATCCTTAGATCTGTCCAAGATATTTTTGGCTATTGAGCAATCCATCGACCACTTGATTCAATATGGGTTTGGGTTCACTCACCTTTATGCCCACCTTACCAAATGGCATACTCAGGAGAATCTTCACCAATATATTTTTTTGCTGATGTGTACTCTGAGCGCAGATTCGACTCAAAATCAAAATCAAGCACTTCGCCAGTTTCAACCGAGATGACAAAACCAACCACGAAATTAGCTGTGTATCCTCGTTTGGACCACGTACCATCATAGCTCGTCGCATTCTCTGCGATATCGGTCGCAGCTGAGCGATGAAGTGAAAACACTTTGTTTCTTGGCTTCTGTAATTGTTCCGCAACAGTTTATTGTGGGCCACATAAAATGCAGCAACATGTTAGTCCCAAGCCTTATGATGGCAAGGGGAAGGCAACCATAAGGAGTAAATCATATGCCTGTTTGTGTCCATGGCATTTTGAGGTTTCCAAACTTGGCTGTTGTTCCTAGAGGTTTGAAGCTCGATCTTGACGTCGCAATTGGAACACTCTACATTGATTAGAGAGTTATTCCCATATCTACAGGCCTCGTCTTCACTTACTTTCAATTCTCCTCCAGATTGACAATTATGTAAAGGCTGAAACACACTGACTTAATTTGACAGCTCGATCAGTCTATAGCTGTGTGCTCCATCAAAATCTTCGCTTGTTTTATTGCTCTGACTCGTTACCTTTCGTACATAAGCTGTTTCAAGCACTGGTGTAGACACACGTGCAGATGAAAGATTGCTGTTGTTTAAATTCGATGTGGCAACATCCCATCGACCCCGGCCACGAAATCGCAGCTTTTTTTAGACTTTTGGCATTGCAAATAAAATATAATCTCTAAGAGACTATTTCCAGCTACCAGTAAGCAACAAAATAAAATAAAATGCAGACAAAGTGCGAATCTTTGATGGGTTTCAGCTCTATATGCAATGTTTTCGAACAGTGAAGAAAAAGGTCGTCTAGAATAGCTACGCGACCAGGCCTTAACTTGTTACCAGTCCCTTAGGTTGTGGATTTACATAATCAGCAAGAAAATACAACCTTCCCCAAAAAACCAAGAAACAAGGCATAACAAACGATAAACACAAACCCGTTTACATAGCAACGTGAACGATGGTTGCCTATCATTTCAAAAAGATGAAATTCTGTGAGAAAGCAAAGTTCTGCCAGGCTTATGTTTGCTTTCGCAGACATCTAGACATACTAATGATAATTTTACAACAAAAAATAGAATTTTTAAAAATTCTTTTGGTAGCAGGAGCTTTTAATACTTAAAAACGGCCATTGACTCTCGCGCCCTTTCCCGCTTGTTGCAACTAGTAGGCTATCACTAATAGCCTACTAGCAGCGTAGCCAATCAGAACGCACGATACGTGATAGTCTGCTAGTACAGTAGGTTTATACTAATAATAATTATCTAAAGGGCACAGAAAAGAAATCTGAAGTTTACCTCGGAATACTCCTTTCGCTTCCAGACCAAGTCGGATTATATTATTTGATAGTTTTCTGACAAAATCGTTTTCTTCTTTACTTTGTATACTTACAAGCTTTGCACTCTTATACCAGCATGTGGTATCTGCACCCAACCAATGTGTACTGTAACAATATAGTAGTTATTATTGATATGAAAAATAAGTATGTTATTGAATTGAGCTTCGGATGTGGTTTTACCATATTACCCTAAAGGGGGAAATGTACATGCCAGAAATTCAATGTTCCGCTTTTTTGGCTCTCAAATTTTAAAATCACTAATTATAGCTCGTAAATAAAACCGCATTGTTGTAAATAGAAAAAGCATTGTATATATTTTATATTCTGCATGTTAATACTTCCTTACTATTTTATTTGTAACAATATTTTGTGACAATTTGTTAATGTTTTTACGCGCCCATTGTGGAAACCAGCTTTAGCTGACAAAATGTTAGCGCGGTTAAATGAAGTTTATCTTCATCATCTGTGATCTTCTGTTCAAATATAAGCGTTAAATGCCTAACGACTTCACTCCGCTGTCCATCTCGCTGCTGGCACCTCTGAAGGCCCTCGTTGCGTCATGAGAAGATCACGATCCGGCGTGGGCCTGCGCAGTCTTGTAAAAAAAATCGCGCCGGCGTCACGTCAGCAAAAATAAATGTATACGTAATCTTGAATATAAACAGGATATTAAATGGTCCGACGAAAATGAGAAATAAAAATGAAAAATAGAAAAAGTAATAAATGTTTAGGTGTAAAATTTTTTTTATGCTTTGTTTTAATATTTCTTTTGCTTTTGCCAGTTATCCTATGCGTTGTGCCAATGTTAGTTAAAAATAAAGGTAATTACGTTTATTGTCATAAATATACACTAATATCGAAGGAAATAGACTGAATTCCAAAATATCCTGCAATCGAACCGATGATACAAGGGGCGAAAACGTGTTCCCTTCATGCAGGCGGCAATAGAACAAAGTTTTCATTCAAGTTTGATCCTAGCCGGTTAAGTTTAAAATATGGTTTAAAATGTAGTTTTCGCGTGTAATTTCCACCAACGGATTTCTAGCATCACTTACCCACTTGTACTACCTTCATAGTAATAGCAATACGTCGAATTTTCATTGGTAACCCATCCAGCATCATTGCATTTTTCGTTGATAGCTAAAAGAGTTTAAATATACAATTGGATGTTCCACGAATATATAAATAATATAAGCATAGACCTAGCTTGGCGCTATAGGTTAATATTATCGTCTGTTTGGTCCATGGAGGAAATGAATCATCAGATGCCTGGTTTTTGTGAATATATGTTCTATCTCTATGGTGGTTCTGTCTATACGCCCTTGCATTTTGTGAATTAAAACATATTTAAGTAATATAAACGCAATACAGAGACATACTTAATGGATAATGGAGATGCAAATCGCGAAATTTTATCCCGTTTAGGTAACAAAAACTCGTTAAATTGCAAACTAAATTAATTACCTTGCAACGTTTCTTTATCTCAGCTTGTCATTCGTGAGATATTTTGGGTTGAATAAACATGCAAATGAGATAAATCTTGTAAATATGTTTAGCGATGGTACTCGCGGCAAAGGTTGAAGGCTTATCTGCTCAAAACAGATGAAAGATTCAAGTTTCTATTAATGGTTCCAATCGCTCATGTTGCATTGAATCGCTCATGTTGCATCCCTGCGGACTGTCAAAATTTTATGGCGCATGTGACGTCGTATTTACACGAAGAAAGATTGGCCAATTTTATAAGATGACGTACAGTATAATTCAAGGAACAAACCGATATAAATCTTCCTGCCACTACCAAAATGACAAGACTATGCGGTGTATATGAAATTTTCAGCTCCTTTGTCATGCAATCGCAATTTAAATGTTATATGTTACGCAACAGATTAGACGCATAAATGTATTCATAGCCAAAGTACTGTACAGATAAACTTGCATTACAGTACCAATAATTAAGGTTTTCGAACATAAAAAAATCGATCGAAATCTAATTAACATAAATTAAGCTTTCCAAAAATGGAACTGTCGAAAAATAGAGATTTCGGTCCAAATTCTTTCAACGTCCGCTCGAGTGGAAGCTCAAAATGTTTAATTCCAACTTCAGCTAGGAAAGTATCAGCAATTTAATTACAAAAATCGCGTAAACTTAACATATATACCTGTAGGAACAGTTGCGGGTTTTTGTGTGGTTCTCTCTGTAAAACACAGCAATATAAGAATACAAGAATACACTACTAGAATATCTCTACTAGAAAATGCATGCATGCATCAATTACCCCTCGCCTTTCTTAAAAGATAAAGTATAAAAGTATTAAGACCATTATAAATAAAAGTAAAAACACAATTGTTGCATGCCCTAGCTTAATAACATTCGTGCAAGGAAGGAAAACCAACTTAAAATATTATGTCTCGTCATATGTGTTGAAGATTACCACAAACTGACACAAACACAGTTTTTAACACTCTCGGCAATCTGACGTTCGTGTTGACAAAAACGTCGCTTGCTTAAGCTCGCTCTTAGAGAGTTTGAGCAAGACAACGAAGTACGAAGACGAAGGCGTACTTGACAATTTTTTCCGTCTGCACATTATCTTGCGCATACTGAGTTGGACGTCACTGGTGGTTGCTCAAAGTGTCTTCCCATGCATGTGTCGTTGTTTATGAATTTTTACCCTAATTTTTGCCCTGACCCAGAAAAAACAGCGAGGCATGAAACTATATCCAGTCATTGTCCTTCTGCCTTCGTTCAGAACGAAGTTCACAACGAATTTTGCCAAAATATTCGTTGTGAACGAAGGCAGAAGAACGAAGACGGAAAATGGATTCATGATCAGGGTAAGGATTTCAGTCAGCATTCATAAACAGCTAGACAAGAATCTCTAATCTCTCTTCACCCCTGACCCTAAACTCAGAATGCGCAAGATATTATGCAAGACCGGCAAAAATTTTCAACCACGTCGTCGTCGTCCGACTTATTCTCTTGCTCGAACTCTATATCATCCCCAGCCAACGGCGCGGGCGCCCTGCGAGGGTATATTAATTCCGCCCGGCTATTTACCCCCGAGGAAAGGATAGCATTTGTGAATTCTAAAGTTCATCAATGTTCGCGAGCGTGGGTTACTGTGCGTGTGTGGTCGTCCTCACTGATCTCAAAATATAGCGGCCTGTCGTGAATAGCGAACACTGATAGGTCCAATTTAAAATTTGCATTATAACGACTGCATAACAACAGCGAAATAGCAAACATTTCTTCATTTGATGATTTCTTGCGAATATGTTTCATTTTTGCAAGGTTTTGTACATTTCAAAACCCATGTTAACGAAGGTAAGTCTTAAATATTGATGTATGTTTGCTTTATACACTAGGTAATTGGTTTAATTAATTAAAAGCTGATTGTTGCGTATATTGTAAATGAAAAAAGAGAGCATATAATTTCAGCGTATTTTTATTGTTTACCTTTTTTATTATATTAAAATTTTTAAATAAAAAAGAAAGCAAAGTTATTTGCATGCGAGAATTTGAAATCATTTTTCTTCAAACTCAAAGTTTATCGATAAAGACAGTTTAGTTTTATAAAGAACATTTTAAAACGTTCTGCGAAGCGTTTGTGGTTGAATTTTACATTAATAATTGTTAAAAAATTGAAGCTTATATTACGTATACTAACATACGTATACATATATAAATATATATGTTTGGGAAATTGACAATTTTGTAATTAAAAGTGATATTTTTAACGAATTTTCCAATTGTAAAAATATTGTTAATGAAATTATCGTGTTACCATGAAAATTACTTTAATTAAACACTTCATATTCGGGAAATACAATGGTTTTGTCAGCAAGGCGAGGATCTCTGCTTGCATGTATTTTCTAGTTTATTGTAAATTAGCGAGTGAGCAGTGGCTTAAAAAAGTCGCATATAGGATTAAATTGACAATACAAAGTAAGTTTGGTTCGGATTGGAATTTTAATACTGCGAATCTTTACACTTCAGACCCAAACAGGCACAAGAACAATTCAACTATTAAAAACATCTACATCAAACCTTCAAAACAATTATTACAACTTACTTCATTTCACGTTTGAGCAGCCATTAATTCATGAAACTTGAGGCTTATTTCCAGTTAAAATCGAAAAAAAATTTTGTACTTTTTTAAACTATTATACGAAAATTACGTCATTCAAAATGGAAAACAATTATTTAGCCAGAGCTTGTACTCGTGCAGATTTGCTGCAAGTTTGGTACAAGTTATGCGTTTTTACGTGCGTAGGCGAAGCACAAGTTCTTATTCAATGTTACGTGAGTATAACAGCCGATTAAATGGCTACAATTTCACCCTTATAGAAATAAACTCAACCCATTATAAATATCGAATACGATTCGCGAACAAATGCTATCTCACATAAATGGATCCGGCAAATGTTGATAATATATATACTTACCCATGGTGTATGCGCATACGAAGGCATATTTATTGCTACAATTCTGATCCCTCCAGTACATCCAACCTCGTTTACCTCGTATAAGACTCATGAACACACAAGTTTTATCTATTTGTCCCTCGTCGGGCTGTCCAACATACCAGTTTGTCCAGGAAACTGAAGAACCATCTGACCATTCATAAACACCTTTCGTTTTTAAATCATTCAACCCAATGCAGACGTTCGAATACCATGCTCGTTCCATGAGACTTGTCGCAAACGATTGTTCCAAACTAGGATAAGAAATTAATTAAAAAATATAAGTTCTATGTTATTATATGGCAAACACGTCTTGTAATAAATAGTGCGCTTGATAGACTGCTGGCGAGGAAAGCTTTTCCGCGTTTCCCACGCAATAATACCCGAGCCGACGGCGCGAAGCGCCGTGCGAGGGTATTAATTCTCCCCGGCTATTTACACCTGGGGAAACGAAAGCATTAGCGAAGTCTAAAGTTCAATAATGATCGCGGGTGTGGCTCACTGTGCGTGATTAGTCCAATTTAAAGTTTGCATTATAACGACCGCATGACGACAGCGAAATAGCAAACATTTCTTGATTTGATGATTGAAAAATTTCTTGCAAATATATTTCATTTTTGCTCGATTTTGTAATGAAAGAAGGGAGCCGACGTTAACGAAGGTAAGTTTGTTTAAAATCCGACGGCCTTTGCGTATGTGAAACAACTAAACAAGAAAGCATATAATTTCAGTGTATCTTTAATATTGATTCCCTTTTTTATTATATTGAATTTTTTAAATAAAAACGAAAGCAAAGTTATTTGCATGCGAGAATTTGAAATAATTTTATTGCAAACTCAAAGTTTATCGATAAAGCCATTTAATTAAAGTCAGTTTTGAATAGTTTTACAAAGAACACTTTGAGCGTTTGTGTTTGAATTTTACCTTAAATTGAAATATATATGTTGAGAAATTGATAATTTTGTACTTAAAAGTGATATTTTTAGGCGATTTTTCATTTGTAAGAATATTCCTAAAAAATTATCGTGTTACCATGACAACTACTTTAGATACTTGATGTTGCACTGTAAATCTCGCGGTGTTGCGCAACACCAAAAAGGTGTAACATTACACTAATTAGGTGTAACGCGGAATTAAACACCGTTCGAGTGTAACATTACACTTCCACAGTGTAACTTTACACTATTTTAGTGTCTCGTAACACTTACTAGGTGTAAAGTAGAAAATATTCTATTTACACCTAATTCGGTGTAGATTTACATTAGAACGGTCTAACATTACCTCTTTCCCTGTTAATTTACACCTTGCGATAGTGTAAATATACACTTATTCGGTGTAAAGTATACCAACAATTGCGAAGTGTAAATTTACACTTTTCCTGGTGTATCATTACACCTAGAACGCGTTAAAATA